GTTGGTTCGAATCTCATCTCCGCAGGGCCGTCAAGTCTTCTACAGCTTGGTCAAATGAAAATCTGGTTAATAAATAAGGCAGTATAAAGGAGCTTTCTTATACTACTATGGCGTGACTTTTAGTCCCACACTTTCTACGAGTTGCATTCACTAGTTAAACACTTCAGGGATTAGGAGAAAATGTACAGTTTACAAATTTACCCCAGTTTTGACGGAAGTGTTATTATAGGAAAACCAGGTTGCAGCAAAAGTCCCCTTGTCGTCTAAACCGTCGCGTAATGCGAATAGGGCACTTCCGCTAACGATCCAACCTCGAGACACGAATAACTCAGTTTACTTACTACAGAAATCGGCAAGGCCAACTAGGGTCGCCGCCTGCTTATCTTGTTTATTTGTTCGTTGGCAGCATATAACATAAAGCTGCTTAAGCCATTCGCTTACTGTATCAGAATTAGTGGAATCCACGTCTTACAAAAGGGTGGGCCGGTAACTTGATCCAAGTATGATTAAACTCCTGACTCCTGATGGAGTCTCGAAGCTCAGGCGGTTAAAATTGTTGTCTGTACTCAAGACTTGTCTTTGCTTTCGTGGGTTCGAATCACACCGAAGCTGCCGATTTTTCAGAGCTGGGTCAAGGGAAAGACTGGAGTCTTGGTTAGAGAAAAGCACAACAACAACCTGGTTAGCATCCCAGTTAAATGGGAATGCTATAAAGGCCACATTAAGAAGGATCCGTTGTAACCTGACTCTCACTCAGCCACTCCACACAACAGAACACACACTGGGCTGACCGCGTGAACCGGGTTATCCCGTCAGTTGGCAACCCTCCAAGCCACGGCTTTGAGCGCACCGTGGTAGCTTAAATCGTGTGAGATTTTTTATGGCGAGAAAAATGTGCTGAGCCATTGACCTCACTCGCTATTCCCATCCCCGGGCCCCAGCCACCGTCCGAGCCGCTCAATGGGCTTGTGAGTGGACGGATGTAAACGATACTATGCGTTTGTAAGTAGGAATTCGAATCTTCATTAGGTGGCGTAAAACCTGCCTGGCGGGAGGAAGATCTTCGTAGTAAGTACAGAACATTTGTTTGCATGTTCTCAGAAGTGCGGGCTTCGATCATTTCAGGACCTGGTTTGCATTCTGTCTGCAATCTTAATGGCAATGAATGAACCCTCTCCAGAGTGCGGGCACGATCTCTCTTAATCGCAGTCATCGTCTGACGCCAGGTTGCTGACTTGGGTTTAATCAGGCATCAATTTTAATAACGTAGTTGCCTGTGATTATTAATACCCGGTGCGCGATGCCGCGTCCCGCAGCAATGCATTCACACCTCCCCAATAGTAGGACATGATAAAGACTGGAGTAGGACGGGAGGGGGGCTGTTGGCAGTTTGAATAACTCATTTGACTCAATTTTGAAAAACTCGGTGGGATTGGAACCTTCGCCAACAAGGGGAAGGCTTTAGAACAACCAACTGAGCTGCCAGTCTTCCCTCCCTTCCCCACCGGAATCCGTGAGTTGAATTACAGTTGCCTGGTAGTCCTCTGTTCGATTGTATATTGACCGCTTAGGAAATCCTGCTTGGCTAGTCAGCTTGTTATATCATAATTGGTAGATTTAATATTTCAAAGTAGGTTGGGCGAGTAAATCAACCCAAGTTGGAATAAACCCACGGCCCGGTTGGGGACCTCGTAGCTCAGTTGGCTAGAGCGTTGGCTGTGCTAAAGTTTTGCCCTTACTATCGTGAGTTCGAATCTCCTCGAGCCCACCGGAGTTTTTCACAATTGGTTCAAAAATAAACTATTTTTTTCCGATGCTTGACTAGTCTTCTTTTTCTTTCCTCGAAAATGCTTTAGCAACTGCTTTAGCAACTGCTTAACCTGTAAATAGTGCCTTGTTCTGCTGATACCGTTATTGGTGATAGGGGATGCTGGTGCACATCTCGTCTAGATGTTCAGAATCGATCCGCACTGCTGTGTTTAACTCCTCTACTTGGTCTCAGTTTTGAACTTTGTTAAAATTTCATAGTGACCTCCAACTGAAGAAGGGAAAAACCTAAGTGTTCTAAGTGCGTTTTTTGTGTCTGCTTTTAGAGTACCTGAGAAGCATGCGTTTCTGCGAGTACTTTGGTTGCTTCTTCTGCTGTACTTGCCATACAAACACCCTCATGGTAGTGCCAAGCGCCGTCCTTTACCACTGGAGCTTTCTCATGCTACCAGTGAGCAATTTCGCCCGCGATATCCTCTGTCGTTTGCATTCCCGTCCTGTCATACATCTGGCTGATTTCCAGGCCATCGTCCTCAGGCGTGAGCACGTCCTTCGTGATGCCATTGAACTGCGTCGACAGGCCTCGCGTATGGTGCCTTTTCTGCGGCTCTGTCGGGAAGGTGTGTTTATCGAATTTTGTTGCATTTTTCGCATATTCCTCTGTCTCTCAGAAGCAACGCCGTATCACATATTTCCTAACAGTAATCACCGCGTCTGTTTTCGAAACGTCTGGTTCTGAATTCCCCTGATAGATGGGACTTTTGCACGTAAGGCGCGGTTATACAGTAGATTCCATATCGCATGAAATGTGTTCCTGTTTTGCACAAATTATTTAAGTAGGGTTGTAATAGTGATTATCGTACAGGCTAATCGGAAAATATTTCGGACACGGCATGACGCCGGATCAGAAGTAGAAGATGCGATCGCTGGGACAAGAGGTTGATTTGCCTGACGTTTTGGATTTAATCGAGAACCCTTCATCAGAGGCAACCACAGATTAGGGTAATATATGCACAGATTGCGCGATATTTATAGTTCGCAGCGGCCACCCGCATGCGCACTATAATTATCAGCTTCCGTAACCACCACTCGGGTTCGTAATTGGTGCGGTGATGAAGGGTTCTCGACAGAGTCCGAAACGTCTTCTTCGGAACTGTTTCCTAGAACTCGCCTATTCGCTTCTATCGGCAAAAGCAGATCAGGAGTTAGAATTTGCTGTTGAAAAACTCAGTGGAATCGGAACCCATGCCAACAAGGGGAAGGCTTCAGTACAGTCAATGGAGCTACGAGGTCCCCCACCGGAATCCGTGAGTTTAATCAGATTCGAATCAAGTTATCCGCCCAAAATACTGCCTGGTAGTCATCTGATGGATTCTTTCTTACCCTCATTTAGTGACTAATTACATCATCTGAAAATATTATACTTGAATGAAAGAAAACTTTTAGTTTTGAACAGTTTTAATTGGCAGATTTTTAAGACCATAAACTATTCTCTCATGACACATCGTATCCGTAAATGTAGTAATGTCACCTATAAAGTATGCGACATTATCCACACTCATTACAAAATTTTGTGAATTATTTTTATCACTTCATAGTGTAGAGAAATGTGTGATTTCCCTTAGAATGCATACAGAGCATAGTTTGTAAACCTTGAATGCCACTATAACAGCCGGTGAGTTCCATATTATTAGGAAATTTTGGAAGCTTTTTTTTAAATCGAAAGGTACCTTTTTTCGAGTATAAAATTTGAAGGAAACTTAATTTGCTGTCCAACGAGTACCTGGAGTGGTCTTTCTGTGCACGCTTTCTATAAAATATATATAGTTAACTTAATAAGAGCATTGAAACCCAATGTGGATAAATATTCTACTTGAGTAGCCATTTTTTGCAGGCGGCCAGAAGGAAGCTCGTTCACAAGTCGGCGTCCTGACCTGACTAAAATATATCGAAATTATGCTGCTTTATTGATATCGTTGCAAGCAACCTTTTCGAAACAAAGACAAATTTGAGAATTTTGGTTGAAGTTTCATAGGAAAGTGAATCCTCTGTGGGTCCTCACTTCCTGAGGGGACCCCCTTTGGAATTTAACTCAAGTCCACCTGTAGTAAGGCGGATACTTATAACCACGTTCAACCATTTTGCCAACAGAATATTTGAGGACCTGACAAGTCAACAATTGTGGGTCCCATGTCTAGAGAGTCGTCGCTTTCTGACATCGACCAAGAGCTGGTTAAGAATTCCCCATTCAATAATCCCTCGAGGGAGAATCTCAGCCCTCAGAAAATTTTCATGATCTGAATAAATTCTATCAATAGGAGCTTCGTTCTCTTCACCTTTGGTCATGTCTCCAACAAACTCCGATGTCACTTAGGAG